AGAAACAACTTCCAGCCTCTCAGCAAGGCCTACATCCCATTATACAACGTTTGGACTGAATGGGGTTAGAAGGTGTGGTGATAACAGAATCAAGCTGGGGACGGACTGGAGGAATACATGGGATGAAGATAAATGGAAGAGGGTAATGAGGGTGAGAGGACGAGAAGGGAATGAGGAAGCAAAAACTAATGAAAGGGAGTTAATGTAGATGGGAAAGGGTGGAGAATGGGAAGGGAGAGAAGAGTAGATGAGGCAGTTGGCAGTGGGGGGTTGGAGGGGAGAGAGAAGCTGCCAAATTTTCTGAGATAAAAGGAGGTTTGATCTGCTGTAGCAGAGAGTTAGAGGAAGAAACCTCTGAATCATGAAGGGAATAATAAAGAACGAAAAAGATAGAAGTAACATATCAAAATGTTGGTTACAAATAATGCAGAACTTCTGATAAAATAGGTTTGTCGTATTTTGTAAATCGAAATATTTAACCCTCACCCAGTGTCAGCAAATACAGATTGGAAAGAATAATTAATGTTTATATAATGCCTTAACTTAGAAAAAGATCCTGAGATTCTTCAAGGAGACGTGATCAGAAACAAATAGATGGCCAGCCAAATAAAAAATTAAAGGGAGTAACCTAAAGCTTGGTCATGGGCCAACTTAAGAAGGGTCTGAAAGAAGAGGAAATCATAAGAGTATGGAAAAGGAATTTCAGAGGCTGGGGTCTTGACATCTGGCCAACAATTGCAGGGTGAAACAGGAAATGAATGCACTAAAGATCAAAATATGAGGAATGAAGCTTTTGAACAAAAAGCTGTAGATGATTTCAGAAACAGAGAAGAACAAAACCATGAAGGGATTTAGATTTATTGATCAGAATTGCTAATTCATCCTAATTCACAAATTGGTCATTCATCTTAATCCATATTTAATGCACATTATCTTTTAGAATAGAGATCCACCTCAGTTGCTGCCTCTGGTGTCCTGGGCTGTAAGCCTAGATCCATTGAGACCTAGGTTGATCTCTTTACATTTAGCGTAGTATTGTGTTGCTCCTTAATTTGACAATACCCAGCAAAACAACAAAACACGACAGGTAACTTTCCTGAAAGCCTGTCTGCCTGTCATCTCCTCAGAAAAACAGGTAAACAGTTGAGCAAAAGCCCATCTCATTTCCCACCCATCTCCAAGTCCAAGGGCAAGACAATTCGGCAACACCATCGATTGTCACAATCCTAGCGAGTCAATACTCTTCAAAAATAACAATTTAAACCTACTTAAAAGTCCCTTCATTGCCTGAATTGAATTAAAGCCCATGCTTTAGTTCTATACAAAACACTAAAGGCTGTAAGGATTTACGTGGATACAGTGTTCCTGTATCTCTGGCCTTTAGAATAGAAGTCACAAAAAGCAGATTTACTTATGTACAGTTGGTAATCAACAGGAGTCTGGTGAATATTTCAATCCAATTACAAAGCTAGAACATTATAGCTCAGCGATAATCTATAATGGCTTGAAAATTATCGAATGTAAACAATATGCTCCTGGAACCATGTTGTTGGTGGGGGTGGGGGGGTGCAGGTGGGGGCGATGGTTTGCGAAAAAGAGGTGGGAAGGGAACTGTACCTTCAGATCTTGTACCAGCAAAATATAATGACTATGAATAATGAATTTTTAAAGATGCCTAGGCTGCATTAAATTCCAAGGTGTCACTTTAAGTACAAAACATCCAGTGTAAAGAATATGGTTTTGACCTTATAAAATCTTTGCAGTAAATTGATAAATATTTCATGATTCTTCAAACTAGTTTCAATGTCCCACAGCTAAAGAGGCTTATGCATCTCATTTGGTGCAAAAAAATCTTTCAGCAAAAGCTTTTATTGCTGTGCATCACATGAATATTAATAGTTTTAGAGATCAAACCAAATTCCCCAACAATTCACAAAAAAAAACAACTGCAGATTCTGGAAATTTGAAACACAAACAGAAATTGCTGGGAAAACTCAATGGGTTTGGCGGCATCTGTGGAGAGAAAGAAAAGTTAACATTTTGGGTCCAGTGACTCCTCTTCTGTGATCTCTCCACAGATACTGCCAGACCTGCTGCGTTTTTCCAGCAATTTCTGTTTTTGCCCCCAACAATCCACCTGTTTTCTCTTAATGCTGTTAATAGTACAGGCAGTGAAGGGGAAACAGTATTTTATCCATGCCTGTCGTTTCAGTTTGGGACATTTCTTTATGATGCCCTTCTGTAAATATTGGCTCACTCTAATAGACATCAACCCTTTGCAAATGTTGATGTGCTGTCTTGAATCTCTGTAAGTATTAGTATAATCTAGTCGTCATTCTCTATATATAGGCAGATTCTAGTGAACCCTCACTACCAATTGGCACGTTCTTGTTAATCTCCAGCAAACACTGAAACTTTCTCAGAAACTCTCTGTAAACATTGACATATTTCCAGGAATGTCCTGTTTGGATTCTGATAGTGCCAGCTACACAAAGAAAACAGCATCTCTATTACAGATAATATTCCCGTCATTATATTATTGCTAAAAATAGGCTACCAAAACTGATGACAGAGACAGAAATCTGAAGACCTTATATAGCCAACAAAGTTCCTCATGAACTTATTTTAAGCAAGAAAATTTAAAATGTCTCTAAACCAGGAAAATCCTCAAAATCCAATCCTCCACCTCCATTAAAAATACTCCAGTCCCTCCAATCATTTACTGAATTGCTGTATTGTTCTGCTTTGACAAAGATTTGTAAAGGTAAGTAATGGTATCTGTTAAACATGCAAAAATAAATAATTAAGGGTCAGTTGTGCTTGTTGGAAGCTTGGCAGGGTAAATGCTGAGTAGTTTCCCCTCATGGGAGGGTCTAGGTCCAGAGGGCACAGTCTCAGAATAAAGGGGTGCCAATTTGAGACTGAGGTAGCAGGAATTTCTGAGACAACAAGGTGCCGAGCTGGATGAAGACAGCAGGCCAAGCAGCATCATAGGAGCAGAAAGGCTGACGTTTCGGGCCTAGACCCTTCATCAGAAAAAGCAGGAGTTTCTTCTCTTAGAGGTTTATGAGGCTTTGGAACTCCTTGCCACAGAGAGTTGTCGGGTCAGAATCCTGGTGTACATTTGAGGCTGAGATAGATAGATTATTGATCAGTAGAGGCATCAACTTATAGGGAGTGGGCAGCAAAGTGGATGTGGGGAATATCAGATCAGTCATGATCCCATTGAATGGCAGAGGAAGCACAAGGGTCCAAACAGCCTACTCCTGTTCCTATTTTTTATGGTCTTATAGGATAGGCTTGTACTTTGTCTGCCGACTTGAGTTTTATCTGGTGTGGGGGTGCGGCAGAGTGGTGGTGGCAGCCATTCCTTCCTCCTTCCCTGCACTTTTTGCCAGTGGTCTCAGTACTCAGTACTGACTACCTTTCTGCAACTAGATTGCAGAAAACAATGGGCTGTGGCCATCAATGTACTTTGATTTAAGGAGCCAGATTCTTTCTTGAAAGAAAATCAAACATTTCATGGAAATGTGTCACATCCTTGCTGAGCTCATCATTTGCAAGTCTATGTATGCATAAAGGTGAATGGTGGTCATAACTGTTTGTCATTACCATCTGTGGCTTAATTTGGTTGCTTTGGGAAATGGAGAGGGGCTCCATTGAGATTGGAGGTCATGAGAGGAGTAGGCCACTTGCTTTGCTTGAGAGACATCCAAATATTAACTGATTTAACTGCTAAAAGGGCACTCAAGACCTTTTCAATACATTTTAAATGTAATTTGTGTTGTCTTTTCATTTTATTATGTAATTTTCTAAGTGCGCCTTAAGTCAATCAAACACAGGTGCTGTCAAATCTAATCTACTACTGTGAAATTGGCACAGTAGAAATTTAGGAATGCATCAAAAGTCATGTTTTGTAATGAATAAAATTTTGGATGGAATAATAAAGTCTTCCATGATTCCATTTGTTGTGGAAGGGAAATGGGATAATCACGATCTGCATTGATTTTTATGCGCTAGAGTTTGTTTGATTCTATACCGGAGAGTGAAGTGGAGTATTTTTTTTTAAGCATAGATCTGCTCTTTTCATGATTACTATTAATGAGGCCAGGATTTTATTAATTGAAGTTACATTTCTCCAGCTGCTATAGTGAGATTTGATCTCATATCTCCAAAGCAGTACTAACTAAATTACTAGTACAGTAACATTACCATTATGCTACCACCACTTTTCACTAAACGTTTTACAGGGGCATGACTGAACAGTGAAGAGGAGTGCTAACACCTGATTGTTCCCTTATACAGCCAACCGAGACATCTCAAAATCAGAAAAATTGCACTAACAATTAATCAAATCTCAAACTTTTATGGTCTCTATTGTTTAACCTTATGCCGAACACCCAATTATCAGAAATCCCAAGGCTGTCCATGCATTTTTATCCTTGTGTCCGTTCAGGGTATAAGCAAAAGCATTTTCTGACATGGCCTTGTGTTCCAAAGTGCAGGAAGTCGAGAACATATATTTTATGTTGCATTATTCTAAAAAGAAGTTTACATTCAATTTAAGAAGCTTCCTGTAAGGTAACAGTGGGAGTGAAATTTTTATTGAATGTCTTGTTGCTATCTGAGGTGCACGGTTCTTCAATCCTTCATCTCTGCATTATGCTGACAGTGGTGAAGCAGAATATCCTAAAGAAGCTACAGATTTGCTGCATTCTGACAGTGAAATACCCTCCAGCCGATTTTCAGGAAGCTGCAATATCTCAATGCCTTGCATCATAAAAAAGTATTAATTCTGCTTCTAAATGGATAAAATCTACCAGGTGCATGTCCAACTGATAGTGGCTGGATTAGACTTTTTTCTCCCCCCTATTACTTTGTTGAGCTTAAGATTAGCGGTTCAAATTAAATTGTTATGAAGTGATGATTGTTTTAAAAGTACCCAGTTACTATTGGCTCACAATAATTGTCTCATGTTGTTTTCTCGATTTAACATGCAGAAAGTCCAGGTTTGTGTCACAGTCTTAGACTACGACAAGATTGGCAAGAACGATGCCATTGGCAAGATTTTTGTTGGCAGCAACGCCACTGGAACAGAGCTTCGACACTGGTCAGACATGCTGGCAAATCCCAGGCGGCCTATTGCACAGTGGCACTCTCTAAAACCAGAGGAAGAGGTCGATTTAGCTCTTGGCCTCAAGAAGTGAAATCATTCCCACCATCATACAAACTTCTCATTGATCAGATGCTATCAATACCTCAGTTATGCGCCATTCTCCATTAACCCTTTGGGGGATACTGTAGCATCTTTGCACCATGACAAATATATATGCAAATTTGATGTGTTTTGTATTTTTTTCTCATTTTTACAATTACTGTTACAAAAAGAATTACAAAATTTCTGTTTTGTACTTTAGAACCTTAATGCTCAAACCTTATAATTTTACACAGGCTTGTAAGTTAATTATTGATGGAATCTCCATATTTTGAAAGGTGCAAGAAAATCCAGTACTCAAAGGGTTAAGACATGATTAATTTTGGTATACATTAACCACCATCATTCTGAACTAATAAAGAAGCCATCTGAGCCTCCAAGTTGTATTCCAAATTTCCCTAAATGCTCAATTCTACTTTCTGCGGTTTTAACTCTACTATGAAATTCGTGTTGATAATGCATGATGATAATCTACTGTAAATAGCAGCATGTTCAATGCAAACTCTTGTGTAGGTGTAAGTTGTCCATGGTTTACAATCACATGCATCTGCTGTATATTTTTATGATGATGCTTCTATTTTACATAATGTGAATGGATTAGATCAAGCTAATGTGAAAAGCCATTTACTTAATTTACATCCAAAGACTGGTAGAGCATTGACATCATATCATGATACTAAGGTAAAGCCTTTGGTGGCCCACCAGGTGGTGAAAGCTGCCATTCTATATCTTAACTATACAGTTAAGATGCAACTTATTGTTCACTAAAGAATGCTGCAAATGCCTTTTTTAAGGTCATGGCTGGCTGAAAGGCTTTGGGTTTAGTTTATAAACAAAATGTTGTGTTTAGGTAGAAAATGCAAAGGATATAAGCCACATTCCCAGATCAGATTGTAACAGTCTGTAGGGCCCTATAATGCGCTTCTATAAATATCTATCTGGGGATGCATAAATTCTGAACCAAGATAACAAAACCATTGTACTAGGAGTACAAAATAATATTTTAAAGACTGGAAATCTCATATCCCTCATAGGCTTCCACCTTGTGGTAATGGCTGTCCAAATCAGCTAAGCTTTCATGGTGGAGATACTTCTCAGACTGCTAATCCCTTGCAGGCACCTATAACACAGGCCACATTGTTCAATTCAAATAGGAGTTCACTTGTTCTGATCAGGAGTGATATGCCCATGGCTGTACAGCAATTAAATGCAGTTGAAATATATTTGTTCCAAAGCAAAACAGAACTTGCCTGCTTCGTTTCATTTTTGATGGGATCCAGAGCAGTATTCTGAAAACTAATTTCACTGCAATAGGAGCCTCATACACCTGCAGTTATAAAAAAATAAGAGTTTTTCCTTATGGGTTCAAGTCAAATTCAGTTGAGTTTGGCAGGGTAACATGGAATTTGGGAGGACGACATTCTACATAATATGTGAATCAGACATGGAAGGCTGATAATTGTATCCAATTTTACGATACATGTTTTGCATAATGTTCACAATTAGAACTCATTATTATTTATTATTAACACAAGCTGAGATGAAAATAATACAGTAAGCAGATACCCCTGATACATTAGCTTCACCGCCTTCCCCACACCCCTATCTTCCTGATCGGAGATGTTGCACTTTGCCAGTCTGCTGCTGCTAATCACTTTGTGTGTGCTTGCCTGTATGTATGCGTGAATGTGTGTGTGAATGAGTGTATACTGTTAGGACAGGAACAATTGCTGAATGATAACATCAATTCAAGAAGAATAAAATGCGCTGATGTCTTTGAGGGTACAAAATGACTTAAGAAGTTATCATGCATTGCAATTTTGATGGTTAAAATTGATGGTCTGTTTGTACAGTAACGAATCTTACTAATGAAACTGCCTAGGTTTGAATTTTTTGATGGATTATTATAATATTACCTTTCACTTTAAAAAGATTGCAATCATTAAAATTTTACTGTACAGAGACACATTAATATTTTATGTGCTGAAGCTATTTTTTTGCTATTAGTCACATTGGCTGGCTTCTTGATATTAAGCTTATATTGAGTGAGGAGTATTTTATCCTGTTTTTACAAAATGAACAAAGTAAATGTATACGACACCCCTCACTGTGATACTCTGTTATGGAAGGAGCAATCTTTGTTACAGCACAAGTGGTGTTGCTGTCCTCTAGCAATGAATACAATTCATAAGCCTTTGTCTTCATATTTCTCCCCACCCACCACTATGCCATTCCAATGTACACTTGATTTCTGATTAGCACAACTCAGATGAGAGGAAAAATCTTACAAATGAATTCTGTAAATATAAGCTACCCAAAAACTTGCTGAAAAATGAGTAAATGAGCATATGAGCATAAATATTTCAGTCACTTAACAGAAAGCTAGAATACCTCAATTACTGGTACTGAAGCTTAGTTGTCCAAACTTTTTCCAGTAATGGGAGATGCTGACACATTCATAGGCAGCCTCAATGAGGCAATAATATTGCTTCAAGCAAATAGACTGGGTTGGCTGAGTATCTGTATATGCACTGATTCCAACAATAATGAGGAAATTATATATTTTAGGCACATTTCTAAAAAGGCCAATTGGGCAAATTTAGTGGCTTTGAAAACAGATACAGGTCATTCTATATATTTGTTATCATCTTGAGAAACAGCAATTTTAGTGTGATGGGAATCAATTTCAACTTCAGTTTCATTTCTCCTGAAGAATTTTGCATACAGCATTAAGTACTATTGGGACACATTTGTGTCAGTTCCTGCAAACATATATTTCAAAAAGTGCACACAAAACACTTTCATAGAAAGTATATCAGTCATTATGTAGGAAGAGTTATTTGTAATTGTGTGAAGTTGCTTGAGATATTTTCTTGTCAAGTAGGTATTTATATAACTAACAATAATGACTTAGTAAGTGCCATAGAATTATGTCATAGTTCCTGTTAGACATATAAAGGACAATCATGTTGAAAAATGGAATTTAATGTTGTTGATTTGTAGGAAGTTCCTTTGATGGGTACAAGTTTTATTCAGCTGCCTTGCTGAAGATATCAGAGTGAAATACTTGTTTGACTTTATTATTTTGACTAAGTGTTGTTTCCTGCAGCTGCTGTGACACAAAATTCAGATTTAGATTGACTTCAAAATTTGAACTTTGACGAATTGAAAGGATAAAAATAACTCCTCAAACCAACTGATCAGATGCTTTAGATTTGGTGAGTCATGTAGAAACGAAAGTGAGACTCTTGACTGCATGTTTCTAAGATATATTTAACAAGTAGATTTATTTGTTGGTCGCTGCCAGTGGCTATAGTTTATAATACTCATAAAATTGTGAAATAATGAATATTAGAAGAAATTGACTGTTGTGAGTTTTGTAGCTTTTTAAAGACTAGTCAATAGCTTGTAGTCATGGAAAATGTCCAATCATGGCTTTCTCATCCTGTCACGGGTACATTAGTACTGCTGTGGACTGGACATTTTAAAGAGTGATCCAACTATTCCCAACAGTTGAAAGAGTTGATTAAAATTCTTTGATAAGAAAAGTAATTTTATGATTACTTAGTGGTTCATAGTTATTATTACAGATAGAAAATACATTAACTATCAGTTTTGAAATGTGTTCTCCTTTATCTGACACACGAGGACATAGATTATTTTTGTAGCTTAATTTTTATCTTTGAATTTGGAGTCCACAGACATCAACTGTAAGAAATAATGTCCTACCATTTGAAAGTTCAGTTCTATAATATTACTTTATTCTTCTGACTGTGTTTGGAATCCATACTAATACTTGATTAAACAAAAGCAGGGTGTCTAGGTGGATTCTGAATGCTATACAAGAGATATATTTACACAGCAACTGTAGTGTGAAGTGGTTCTATAAAACTGATGAGTAGCAGTCTTCTGAAACAAAACAATGAACTTCCATGTGACCAGGGAATGGAATAAATTACTGAGTCCCTGGAATACAACCTAGGAGACTGATATAATTTCAACTCTTGCCAACAGATTTTATAAACACAATCAATAAATCATCGCTGACTGGTAAAGACATAACATGAACAAATGGCTGCAAGACCAGTGCTACAACATGTACCTGTCCAGCAGTCATTCTTGCTGGCTAAAATGGAATTCTGTTAGACATAAAGCTAACACATACTTAAGTGTAATCGGTAAATGAACTAATGGTGAGCACTTACCTCTTGTTGCTGAACAAAATCTATTGTACTTTCTGCAGATTTGTGGATCCAGATTTTTTTGTTGTTAGTCAGTTAAGGAATAGCCCAAAGCTTTGCTGTTGTTGAACAATGATCTAGTAATACACTCAGATGAGATTGAAGGCAGCAGAGTAGCATGTAACCAGATTTCAAGTAGAGAAAATAATGTTAAATTGAGACAAATATATATTTCATTTAAATTTGAATGAATTAGCAATAACACTTTAGACATGCATATAACTGACTATTATCAGCAAAACATGTATATTTATGAAAAGAAGGCAGACTTATTACATAACCATCACTGATGCACAGCGGTACACAGAGATACAACCACTGGTTCCTTAAACTTTTACGACATGTGTTATACAGGTCCTTTGTCACTTCACAAATTTCATCCAAAATTATGTTGAACTATGTTTGCCTTTCCAATATTTCACCTATACATCTCACAAGCTATGTTGTAGGAAAATAGACAGTGTATTTTTAGAGACAATTATGCTTATAAGTACTATTTCTGGATGTGGAAATTCCTCCAATAGTGAAGCTCTCTCTAATATCATATGCTTTTCTTTTTTCTCTATTCAAATTTCATTTGGTACTCCCCTTAATATTTTCTTCACTCTTGTGTCAATTCATTCCTTCATAGAAAATCACTTCTGTTTTGTTTTATCAAAAATGTTAGTTTTCAAGTAACATTGCTGTTATCCAACCAGCTCTTAACAAACCCCCAGATTATTATCTCCTTAATGTGTTTGACTTAGTTTCTCTGTAGTTGTTCCCCTTATTGGGATCACACATACAAATGTGTCTAAAACAGCTTTGCCTCCTGGGAAACTATGAAGGACTATTGGACCTTTTGGTATTTTCCACATACAAGTAAACATTGGGAACTTAAAGAGCCAACTGTATTAAATTAAATCTTTGGATGTTATTCACTTAATAAATTGATCCCTCTTGAAGGCTGAATTGGAGAAAGTGCAATGCTGAGAGGTGGAATGCTTATAAAGTTATCAGCAAGATCATTTTTTCTGAAACTAACATTAACTTATTCCAGGTGAGTGTCCTACCAAGTGGAATCAAATGATCTATGGTCCATTCTTACATGTCTCCACCTCTGTGAATCAAATTAATAAATTAAAACATTAAAACTCTAAAAAGACCTGTGTAACTCAGTGGGAGTTGTTAAAATCAGAAGGATTCAATAAATATTTTTTAAAAATGGGAAGAAAAGTTGTTTGTTTTCAGTGTCAAACAATTTGACTTGAATAAAGCAGATTTGATGTAGAGTCAGGAAAACAGTAAATAAATTTATGTTACACATTGAGTTCTGTCAGTGTAAAGTTGATTACTGAATATCCATCATAGAGTAGAAAAGTTATTTCTTACTATTCTGAAAATGGTAGTCAGTTGCTAGATGCAGCAATCCATAATCACTTGTCATAAGTGTATAAATATGTATGTTAAACCGCCTGTCTGTGCAATATAAAAATGTAAGTCCTTGTATCATCAATAAGCGTACTTTTTTTAACACCACCTGCTTATTCTGTCTGAAAAATGCAGCTGTACTGTCCTTCGTTTTGATGAAATTTTGTACCTTTTGTTTCTACTTTGTGTAAAAGTTTGTTGTGTAGTTTGAAATTACATAAGGGAATGTAAAGCAGAGTCCATTAAATATGTCTCATATGTCACTGTTAAAGTGTTGCCTGTTTGCTGACCTAGACACTATGAAAGATGGAGAGCCATTAATAGGTAGGGTCAATTCTCTGCAACAGTTCAGCAATTGGCGTCCTACTACCCTCCACTTCAGTTGCCATTCTTACTATTTTGGAGTACTGACTGATGCTATAGGTAAAGTCCAATGGACGTTTTCTAGTATCTCATCCAATATGTGGCTCTTTTGTGAGGAATCCAGGATGGTTAGTGGTGTAGATTATTTAATTCTGGAACACTGGTGAAAGCATCACTGTTGAGTCATTGAAAACAAAAAATGCTGGAGATCACAGCGGGTCAGGCAGCATCCATGGAGAGAGAGCAAGCTAACATTTAGAGTCTCGATGACTCTTCATCAGAGCTGAAGTTCAGTACAGTTTAGATTCCAGCATCTGCAATAATTTGTTCCTGCTACGGAGTCATTTCTCTGATTCATTTGGTGTCTGTGTGTATTTATGGAACCAAAAACACGTGCGTATGTACACTCAAGGACTGACATTCATACACACACACATGCACACACCTTTACATGCTCATTGTTATATTTTCATATGTATACTTGTATTTTCTTCTCAGGAGAAGTTACTAGAATTCTAGTTGATTTCTCCACTCCCTAGAGCAATTGGAGCACTACTTCCAATCCTGCAAAAGCAAAATATTGCAGATGCTGGAAATCCAAATTGAAAACCAAAAATTTGGAATATACTTTGTAGCTCAGGCATCATCTTTGGTCAGCCTCCATCATCCTCAGCATGATGCAACTGCCAAACACATCCTTCTATTTTCAGTTCTCCAAAGGAACCACTCCCTCTGAATATCCTGGCTCACTTTCAATTTAGAGAATTCATATATTTGTGCCTGATTGTGGAGTAGTGGGCTTGATTACCAATGCACTCCTTTCATCAGGAGACAATGACATCATGAGCAGTGAATACAACATTCTAAATTGAAAGGTTTATGAGCAGATCAGAGATTTTTTTTTCCTGGAGCGAGTATTTGGAACCTGGATGGTGGGATGGGAGGAAACAAAATATCAGGTTTTGCATCTTTGCTGTCTTGGGAAGAGGAGAAAGTGTTGACTGCAAGAGAAAGCTGTCTTTGTTTGCAGGCTTTCTGAGGTTTGAGTTCAATTGCTCCTTTCCAGGTCAAAGATAAACCACAACATTAAAAATTCAAAGCCTGTTCCTAGGCAGATTTTCAACCCACAGATACCAGTGTGTCTCACAAAAAGTATCGATTCCCACTTCTCCAAAATGGACATAAGCTTGTGAAATAGTAAGTGAATTCCACACAGATCCACTTTTGAACCTTAAGTTGCAATGAAGCACAGTTGGTACAGTCTTCTCACACAGCAGTGCCCAAGCTACCATTTTCACCCGTATATATTGCAAATATGCCTTTACATGTCTCCACCCTTGAAGAGATCATGCCCTTTTCGAAACATGCTTCAACACAAGATAAACATGACATCAATGCAATAAAACACATTACAATTTCTTGTCATCTTCTCAAAGTTTAAAACTATTTCAGCATCATTACCTTCTTGATAATGCATCTGTAATTATACTATCTTTCCCAGTGATATGAACAATTCTTATACTATAGGGTTGAATTAACAATTTCCATCAAAATTGTCTTGTATTTTGTAATAGCATATGACTCTCTCACTTCCTCAGAACAGAAGAAGAATCATATTAGATTCAAAATGTTAATTCTGTTTATCTCTCCACAGATATGTTGCCAGACCTATTGGGTTTCTTCAGTGTTTTCTGTTTTTATTTCATATTTCCAGCATGTGCAGTATTTTGCTTTTAATTGGGTAATAATCCCAGGGTCTCCCTTTCCACTGTAGTGTATATCTTGTGATACCAGTTATATTTCTTAGACAAATATCCCACTGCCTTCTCAGTTCCCTATTCTCTATTGTCTTTAGACATATTGCTCCAACTGTCTTTCTATTGGTAGTCCATAACGAACAAAAACCTGAATTATTTTCTTTTTTCACCATTACTTTACCTACAATCATCCTCAAAGGAAATTGGATTGTCCTTTACATAACTGTAAGAACATATTGCTTTGGTAATAGTCCTGCACAGTCTAATGAATGGTTCTTCAAAAACTAACATAGGTATCAAAGGTGCTTGTTTAAATACATGTTGAATTTATTCCCAACCTGCAGCTCTGTAAGAATGCTTCAACTTCCTTAACAGAACTCCATTCTTAATACAATAAGCCAAGACCCCTTCAGCCTCAACTTCAATGTTGGCTAGTTGTGTTAACTTGCTCAACTCCAGACCCATCTTCTTCTTACTCACTCATGGGATTTGGGTGTCACTGGCTGTGTCAGCATTTATTGCCTGTCCCTGAAGAAGGTGGTGGTGAGCTGCATTCTTGAACTGCTGCTGCCCATGTGCTGTTGGTATACCCACAATACCCTTCTGGAAGGAATTCCAGGATTTTGACCCAGTGACAGCAAAGCAACAGTGATATATCTCCAAGTTGTGATGTTGAGTGTCTTAGAGGGACACTTGCAGATCGTGGTGTTCCCAAGTATATTTGTCCCCTAATTTTTTTCTCCTCCATTTACCTCTCTCCAAAATGATCATTCTTTTTCTGTCTCATTTTCCTCAAACTCAATTCCTTTTAGTTCCATTTCCTTTCCAACATGCTTTGCTTCGTTCTCAATCTCAAGCTACAATTGATTTCTTTAGACTCACCACTTTAGTCCTCCTTGTATTTCCACTAATCCTAAATGCTCTGCAAATATAATTATCTCCACCTTCCTAACTATTGTAGGAATTTCACATTTAACTCCTTTGCCAATTCTATTATCTTAGCCTTAGTTAAGTCTTACAAAGCAGTGAGGGATACTCTGCAGAGTAGTTTTAGCCACTTCCAATGCCATCTTATTTTGTACTATGAGAAACTGGTATCTGTCCATTTCTCCTTCACCAGTTCTTCTTATTTCACATCCAGTCCTGCAATGTCCACGTTTAAAAATCTCACACTGAGTCCCCAAATGTTTGTCACAACCCTATGGGAGTGATCAAGCTTCACTGCTACTATGGGAAATGTTTGGTGGCAAGTAATAAAAATAATCAATCCTTTATCCCAATCCTGACGGTATTTGTGATAGAATGCCTTAATCATTGTCTTGAGGATTTGGTGGTATCTCTAAAGCTCCACATGTTTATGGATGATATGCCATGGAATTCAATTGCTTTACAGCATGATGGTAAATTTGCCTGACTTTGACTGCTATCTAGAACAAAAGAAAGGTTACATCGATAAACAAAATAAATTTTATTTGTCATTAACATCGGCCCATAACAAATGAAAAAAAAAACAGTTTATTAACTACTACTTTGCAAACTTCTATAATTTCCTTTTTAAAGCCAAATATGCATAAGCAAATTCATAAATAGGACAGCCTAAACTGAGAGACCACAGAACTATCATGGGTGAAGAAACAGACAAAAAGGAACAAGTTCTGTGGAACAAGAGTCCAAAACACAAGCTGATTTTCTCATACTTCTTTTGCTTTCTAGTGATGATATCACATCATTGTTCACTTCAGAGTGATGGAAAATCCACAGTCAGGTTGAAGTCTTTGTTTGAGCTCGAGATTCCATTTTCAGACTCTTTGAGTGTCTTTGTTTTTCAGCTTGAAGGGGGTCAGAAACAGAGAGACTTGTATTTACTTGCAGGATTTCTGGAGATTTGAGTTCACCTGTTCCTTTTCAGATCTGCAACAAACTACAATAATGAGGTGGTGGTGGCAGAGTCAGAATTTTACTTGTTTAGTAATCAAGAACACCAGGCTAATGTTCTGGGAGCACGGATTTGAATCGCACCATGATGATGCAATTTGAAATTAATTAAAATTTGGAATTAAAAAGCTAGCCAAACTAACTATTGATTGTTGTAAAAACCCAGTAGATTCACTAATATCCTTTAGGGAAGGCAATCTGCCATCCTGGTCTGACCTAAACACGACTTCAAACCCACAGCAATGTGGTTGACTCTTACCTGTCCTTTTTTAGGGACAAGTGAGAAATACTGGCTTAGCCAAAGATGTCCAAATCACATGGCAAAATTTTAAAACTCCTGAAAATTCAAAGGCCATTGCTAGGCAGCTTTCTCAACCCACGTACACCTCATGGAAACTTGCCTCGCAAAATTACCAACAGCCGCTTCTTTCCAAAAAACTTACATGACCTGTGTAACCTGTAAGTGAACTCCTTGCAGTTCCAGTTTTGACCTTCGAGTTGCAAAAATAGAGCACTTGACACATTCACTACAATGTAGTAGTCTCCAAACCTGCCATTTAACCTTTTTTTTTAAATGTAATCTTTAACTGAAGTAACTGCATAGAGGCTGGTATCCTGTCACCAAGTCACCTTTTATTTACATGTGCACAATTCATTGGCTCTGACCAGTCAGCTCAAAGTCAGTCCCGAGACTGAGGAGGCCTTCTGAATCTTCTGTTTGTATCTGTCAGCCAGGGCTCCCTGATTGGCCCAGGTTAACAACCCCAATCAAGGATCTCATTGTCAATATGATCCACCTGGCCATGATTCCAATCACTACATAAACAAAAGACAATTTGGATAAGCATCTGTAGAACATTTCTGTCTGCAAATGTGGCTTCAAGCATCTGGTTGCTGATCATTTTAATTCTCCACCTTGGTCCCACTCTGTCCATAGCCTCCTACACTGCCCTACTGAAGTTTAAAGTAAACTCAAGGAATAGCACTTCATCCTAGTTCAACACTTCACAATTTTCTCAACTCAACATTGAGTTGAATAGCTTCAGCTTGTAACCATGTTTAAGAATCGTTACTACCTAACTTTGAAAGGTCATTAACTTGCTATCTTCATTTTGTTCCTATCCATACAGATGTTGCCTGTTCTGCTGAATATTTTCAATACTTTCCAATTTTTATACTTCCATTAAGTTTTTTTTAAATTCATTCACAGGACAAGGACGTCATTGGCTAGGCCAGCATTTATTGCTCATCCCTAATTGCCCAGGGGGCAGTTACAAGTTAACCACATTTCTGTGGGCCAGACCATTTGAGGATGGAAGATTCCTTCCCTACAGAACATTAGCGAACCGGATGGGTTTTTCCTGACAATTGACAATAGATTCAGGGTCATCATTAGACTCTTAATTCTAGGTTTTTATTGAATTCAAATGTCACCTTCTGCCATGGCAAGATTTGAATCCCATCCCTAGAACATTACTTACATCTCTGGATGAACAGTCTAGCAATAATACCACTTCACCATCAGCTCCCCTAAATTCCAAGATAATAAGTTCAGCACAATATAGGGTCAAAAATAGAACTTTCCCAGTCTAAGTGGCACAGTTCTGCACTGGAAAACATTAAGCATTTTTTTGGAGCTTTTTAAAGACATGTACATTGGAGCAGTGAATGAACATGGACTTCTCAAATTAACAAATTTTACAAATAGTGCACTCAGTTAAGCAGTATATGCAGCAAAAGTAAATTCAGCAAATAACCCAAAAAATGACTTTTTAAAAAATTGAATTGAATTGATGTATTGAATTAAATTGAATCATTTATTGTCACATGTAATCAATATAAAAATACAGTGAAAAGTGTGTACCTTCGCCATACATGCATGGCACCGTTCACATTAACTGAGAATAAGTCAAGAAGAAAAAATAGCTTTAAGAGAGTCTAACTTTCCTTTCCACTGCTGCAGTCCCACTCATGGCTTTCCAGCCCATGCCATGCTGCCACCAGCATGCCACTCTGGACTACCTCACCGGCTTACTCTTGCCACCGCTGCCTCACTGGCCTGAACTCACCGCTGCTGCCTCACCAGCCCACTCTTGATCCAAATTCTCAATCAAAAGAACAAAAGAGTAGTACAGCACAGGAACAGGCCCTTCAGTCCTCCAAGCCTGTGCCGATCACCATGCCCTGCCTAATCTAAAAAAACAAACTTTCTGCCCTTATTCGGTCCGTATCCCTCTATTCCCTCCCTATTCATGTAACCATCTAGATGCCTCTTAAATGTTGCCTCTTCTGGCAGTGTGTTCCAGGCTCCTACCACTCTCTGCATGAAAAAATTACCTCGCACATGTCCCTTAAACTTTTGCCCTCTCACCTTGAACCTGTGACCCCTTGTAATTGAAACTTCAACACTGGGAAAAAGCCTCTGACTACCCATCCTGTCTACACCTCTCATAATTTTGTAGACCTCTATCAGTTCTCCTCTCAGCCGCTGTCTTTCCAGTGAAAACAATTCTAGTCTTTTTAACCTTTCTTCATAGCCAACGACCTCGACACTGGGCAACATCCTGGTGAACCTTTGCTGCACTCTCTCCAAAGCTTCCACATCCTTCTGGTAATGTCGTGACCAAAAATGCACATAATACTCCAAATGCAGCTTAACAAGGGTTTTATATTAGCTGCAACAGGATTTGCCAACTCTTGTACTCCATGCCCTGGCCGACGAAGGCAAGCGTGCCTTATGCCTTCTTAATCACTTTTGCCTTCTTAATCACTTTTGCCACCTGCATTGCCATTTTTAGGGAACTGTGGACCTGCACACCCAGAACCATCTGTACGTTCATGGTCCTAAATTTGATCCTCCAAAATGCATCACCTTGCATTTGTCTACATTAAACTTCATCTGCCATTTCTGTGCCCAAGTCACCAATCTACATCCTGTTGCATCCTTCCACATTCGTCAGCACTATCAGCAATCCACCAGTCTTCATGTCTTCTGCAAATTTACTAATCAGACCACCCACATTTTCCTCCAGATCATTTATATATACTACAAACAACAGAGGACTTAAGATTGATCCCTGTGGAACACCACTAGTTACGACAAAACAGCCACAAAACTGAGCTTTAGCTCTTGATCAGCAGTAACTTTTACAAATCAGTTTTGTTATAAAACATTTTCTGAAAATAAATTTCAGAAGGTAGGCTGCCTAAGTAGGATATTATTACACATTCTCAAGGGTAACAGCAAACATGTTTGTTCATTTTCAATAAATACATGGGATGGATAGCTATTTCAGTATTATATTAATAATGCTGATTTTTTTCAATGCTGCAGTTACTGTTTTGTAAAGATATTTCCATGTGTTTTCTTGCGCTACTTCAGAAAGGTTTTGGATAAAAGTCACGGTTGACCTGCAGCAAATCAATCAGATTCCTCAGGTCACTTTTTAACAGAATATTTTAATCAAAAGCTACAAAGACATCTAATTTATGGAGCAAATCTATTATAACATTAATCAAATTCTGGAAGACATGGAGAATAATGACTCTGAGGAACAACTGCATAAATTAATTATTATCCCAAGATATGCAAACGGCAAAATAAACAACAAGCTGAAAGGTCACCTTATATCTAAATTACAGAATATTGCTGTGTTATCTGCGGTACAACACTGATTGTCAATCTCCATGAAAATAAAACAAAAACATAACAAGCCTGTGGTGCACAGCTGAAGTCTACATGGCTCTCACATTGCTGTAGCCCATCAAGGATATCAGATTAAAATTGATTTCAAAGCACTGAACAAGTCTCCCAATACACTAACCTTTCTGACAGGAAGCTAGCAGAGCCCTTTGTGGCTTAAGGAGCAAGGTACAAGAGACAAGCACAAGCTAAAAAGGTGACAGAAAGTCACACATTGAGGACTTGACGTCAACAGACACAAAAAATACTTTCAGCAAAATTCCAACAAATGGATATGCTTTGCTGAGTGGAAAAAAAATCAGCAAGTTGCAAATCCCATTGTGTGACTGATAGACAGACAGTCTTTTACACTACTGCATCAGTGAAATCTTTGCATCCATAGAATTTACCTATAACAAGGCATTTACAAGGAACAGAGACAATATCAATCACAAAAAGAACCTGATTTTGAAACAGAGAAAATATAAAAATACTCTAAATTAGCTCTAGTGTTGCTCCATAAACCTTTCCAAAACATTCAGAGAATAATGAAATTAGAGCAACACCAGGGACTATTTCTCTCAATTAATAAAACAAATGTCAACAATAACCAGTTAGGACTCTCAGTTCTGATGGTTATAATATATTTATTGAGTGTATGGCAAGTAATGTGGAATGGAACTGTAGAATGGAATAAAGTGTACACCTCAAGCTCATAAACCATGAATCAATACTGAACCTGTAGTTCAAACAGATATTTTCATTTTTAGGGCTCCTTGATGTTTCTAGAAGACTAAGCCAGACAATATTCAAGATATACTACAACTTTCATTTACATAGCGCCTTTAGCATGAGAAAGATCCTAAGATATCTCAAGAACGTCAAGCCAAGGAGATGAGATGGGCTAACTGAAAGGTTGGTCCAAGAGATGGGTTTCATAGTAACATCAGTGCCTTAGCCTTTTGTGCCTCTACTGGTTCTTTGAAAGAGATATTCAATTATTCCCTTTCCCATTCTAAGAGGGTCAAAGGAGGAAAGGGACTTGGCAAAGTTGAAGGGTTTAGGGTTTGAATTCTAGAAATTGGGATCGAGGCAGTTGGAAGAACAGCTAACAATAGTGGACAGGAGGATTTAGTGTGAATAGGATAAAGACAGCAGGGCTTTGGATGATCTGAAATGTTTACAAATGCTGGGAGATGTATGGACAGCTGAGAGAGCTTGAAGTAGTCAAACATGGAAAGTAGAGGACACGAAAGGGGTCTCAATGGCAAATAAGCTGGTGTTCAACATCGGCAACATCACAGAGATGGAAAAATTTGGTCTGTGTACCGTAAGGAGTCAATGGAAAATAATGAGAAGGAAATAAGCATCCTGTATATAATTAACAATTTACACATAAATATGTAGAAATTTCTTTGTTTTTTTAAAATCCTTATACACATTTTAAAGAAAACTCTTGATATAAAATTATTTTATTCCATATTGTGACTATTTTCAGCATCACAATAAAAATCCAAGCTCCTCACTATCTGCTATCACTTTTTCTTTACCTTTGATCAATTTGCTTTCATTGCTCTCTTCTTAAACCTGCTTCCTTTATTCCAATCTTTGGTCTTGTTCCTTCCCTGTTGCACTAGACCAACCTAAATTTGCAGCACTGCTCTTACAACATTGATTCAAACTCTGCACATCTTAAGCTCCTTTTACATCACAGTAAAACAGTCACGTTTTGAATTTATGTTAGAAGGTATGCTGTGAGTCTATTAAATCACAGAAGAGAAAGCAAGACTCTCACATTATGCCAATTTCTTCCCGTCTGGAGCCATCAATTTAGAAGCACCTGGCAAACTGCCACTGCATCCAGAAACAGCAATTAAACAGTTGTTGACCCCATAGCCTTCTCATTGCAATAACACAGAATTGCTGGAATTGGGAAATCACACGAATCAGATTTTTTTCTTCAGTTCTCAATTATATTAGCAAATTGCTAATGGCGCAGAGAGTCAAGGGGGCAACTGAATGTTGGGTATAATGGGTTATCCCCTCAACTAACCAGATACAGTTATAGAGAAAGGCAATGAGTCCATAACAAAGAAAAGTCATGGCATAAATTAGTCAAATTAAACAGAAAGACAAAGAGAGAAAAAAGGATTAGTTTAAGAGTCAGGAAAATAACAGACAAAAAGAAAAAAAAACTTAAAATCAAAACTTTTGTAGAATTCTGGGAATAATTTATTACCTGCATGAATAAGGTTTTAACAGTTTTATTGTTCTCATTCAGATCTCTGAAGGGTATGTGACATGTGCCATGAACTGAGTCCTTACAGTGGCTCTAAGTGGCTGCAGCACAGGTTCATTCAGGTGAATCGCACAAATCCAACACTTTGATGTCACACAACGATGAGGGATGGGAGCCTCAGAAAGAGACAGTACATTAATGTGTTTTGGCGAGGCTAACAATAGAGCAGCACAAACCATCAAACAACTGTGGGGAATTTGGGGCTGGAAACATAGGAAGACACATAGAAGCAAGAGTATCTCTTTCAGCCTGACGGGCTTGATCTGACATTCAGTTAGCTCATGGCGATCGTCTATCTCAACTTTCTGTTCCATCCCCATATTCCTTTATGTCGTTTGTATCTAAAACTCTGTTGCTCTCTGTCTTGAACATGCTCAATGATTGCTTTTCCAGGTATAGAATTCCAAAGGTTCACCATTCTCTGAGTGAAGAAATTCTTCCTCATCCCCACCACAAACTGCTTACCCTATATTCTGAGACAATATCTCATAGTTCCCAGCAGCCAGGGAAACATTCTATCTTTACCTATCCATTAAAGTTTCAATTAGATCACCTCTCATTCTTCAAAACTCACAGAAGAACAGACTAAACTTCATTAATTTCTCCTTACAAAACAAATCCACATCCTAGGGATTAATTTACTGCACTCACGCTAAAATAAATATATCCTACTTTAGGAAAGGAGACCAAAACTGTATACAAGAGCCCAGATATTCTGATGGTTAGACACTTCTAAGAGTGGTGCAGACTGGATTTGTGTGTCAAGAGGGCAACTGAATGTTGGGTATAATGGGTTATAATCCTGCAGATTCCCAAAGTTAGCAGGGTGTGTGCAAATTGCTCAAGAGATTGAAAATTCCAATGTACAATTTTCCTGCATCTGGAACCCTCTGAATAAAACGTTTTATATTAGAGAATTACATAGAAGATAGAACAGTACAGCACAGAACAGGCCTTTCAGCCCACAATACTGTGCCGACCTATTATCCTACCAGGATCAAACTACCCTGCAAGAAAACAATAGAGAATCAAATATAAGATAACAAGATGTAGAGCTGGATGAACACAGCAGGCCAAGCAGCATCAGAGGAGAAGGAAGGCTGACGTTTCGGGCCTAGACCCTTCTTCAGAAATAGGGGAGGGGAAGGGGGTTCTGAAATA